AGCCGCTTGGCAACTAGACCTGTCACCAATAAACAATAAGCATAATCGTTTCGCTTCACGGCATAGCTACTAGCCAGTACTAAACTAATATGTTCAAATAATAAATCTATCTTTCCTTTTATTTAAGTATGTCTCTTGAAGGTGATGAAGAGCTATCTCTTCATGCCACCCCAACTAGGGTCAAGACACCCTCTCGTAGAGGAGACATTGCCAGCATCAATTAGATCCTGGACGATCACACGTATCACCACGGAGTTAAGGAGGCGACAAATCCCTTACCCTGCCACAGCAAGGAAAGCTGAACTATTCAAACTCCTTAATACTACAATCAACAACACGGAAGCAGGGGAAGGCCCCAGCAACACCAGTTCAGGTGACATCCAGGCTATGCTGGCCTCACTCATGACCTCTATGGGCAAGGTCAATGACAGACTGGCTAATCTCAAGGCAGTCACCACAGCCCTCACCAAGGCTGGTCTTCCTGATACTGCTCAACAGGCACCAACCGAACCACGGGTATGGTTATCTCCTCAGATTATCAGGACGTTGACCCTGCTTACACTATCCCAGCCCACATTAAGAGAGACATCCTGGAAGGCAAAGACGTCAACCTGGCATCCCTACTAACTGCCTCCCAGGATGTGGTGGAGAACAAAACCTATATGTACGACGAAGTTTCTGTAATGGTCAGATTAAAAGACGTAAGGTTAAACCGTAAACTGACCATTCCAGAATTTGTGTTAGCCTTTGGTATTTTTAGAGATATAATTTGTGAAGTATACCCTAATAGAAGGGAAGAATTTGATCGATATTTGCACAAGCTGGTGGACCTGGGGAACAAATATGGTGGATCTGCTTTTTATGACTACCATAGGTCTTTTTCCACTAAAGTGTCTGGAGCTCTCTCTCAGTATGGTACCCTTATCAACTGGAGCAGATTAGATACAGAGCTGTTCTGTAGACACTTCGCAGGTCTCAAAACACCGGCTTGTGCATCTTGTTCTTCTACAACTCATACTACCAATTTATGTTCTCACACGGCAGACGACCGTAATCAGTCACCTAGCACAAGCTACGCGGGTAGAACCGAGAAAATCACCAGGGACAAACTGGGTCGTCCTATCATTTTCTTTGGTAAATCGCAAGTGTGCAATAATTTCAATGTGGGCACATGTAGCTTTAGTGCATGTAGGTTACTGCATATTTGTTCACATTGTTTTAGGGCACAAGCGCATACCATGTGTCCAAATAAAATGTACCCTAAACCGTACCTAACGTCTGTTAACATTCATGTCTTTGCAGCACTTTTAACCAATCACCCTTCCAGACATATGGTAAATTTTCTCATTTCTGGATTCTCAGAGGGGTTTCATACAGGCATAATACATATGCCCACAGGCCAACTCGAATTCCGTAATTTACAATCAGCACAACAAAACCCAGCAGCCATAGACACACTCCTAGCCCAAGAGCTGGCAGAAGGGTTCCTGTTCAGGCCTTTCAAAACCCCACCTTTTACGGCATGTCGCACAAATCCCATAGGGATAGTCACGGGGAAAACTTCCCTCAAACAAAGACTCATAATAGATCTGTCAGCCCCTCATACCTCATCTACACCGAGTCTGAACTCTCTTATTCCCTCTGAGGAGTTTTCCCTGCAATATGCCACTATAGACCATGCTATTACAGCCATTATGCAAGCAGGGATCGGAGCATGGCTAAGTAAGACAGACATTACCAATGCCTTTAAACTACTACCTATCCATCCCACACTATGGCACTTACTGTCACATATTCATCCGCTTATAGAAATGTGGTTAATGACATTTACTGTCCACACAGGAAAAGTTGTGCCGAGCAGCAACCTAATCCACAGAAGGGTTAATGCTGAGCAGTAACCACTGTTAATAGGACTCCTTGCATCTCCTTATCACCATCCCTACAGTTTGATGGCAATATCCAGGAATGCAGGGGTTTTCTTAATCAAGTGGAGTACCATTTCCTCATCGCTGTGTCCCTTTCTGTGTTCCCTGACCTCGGCTAGTATTTTTGACTATTCTTTGTACGTTAAATCCGGCCATCCTAAGGACCGGTAATACGTTACTTATTTGTCATCCGTGCTGTACAGTTCTACGTGCTGGATCAAACAGTAATCCTGACACTTACATGGCATAAAAAGGGCAGATAACTATTACTTTTTCTCCCGCTTAACCTTTGGGTCTAAAAGTAGCCCCAAAATCTTTGACACTTTTGCGGACACACTGTGCTGGTTGTTACTTAATGTGTCTAGATGTCCCATAGTCATCCATTATCTGGATGATTTCTTACTGATTGAAGCAAACTCGCTTCCCCCCAGGAGTCTCAAAGCAACTATTAGTTTGTTTGACCACCTTGGAGTCCCTGTATCCAACAAGAAAACCGAAGGCCCAGATACAATTATTACATTCCTAGGTATACAACTAGACTCTGCCTCCATGCAGGCTAGTTTACCACAAGACAAAATCACAAACATACTTCGCAGCATTAACCATTACATTTTGATGGGTAACTGCAACCGCAAGGAACTACAATCACTCATAGGTTCTTTGAACTTTGCCATGCGCATCATTCCTCAAGGGCGGGCTTTCATATCCAGACTTCTTTGTCTTTTTCCACATTTCAAACACGACAACTATAGACTATCCTTGGATGAGCATGCCAGGGCAGACCTATGTATGTGGAAAGAATTCTTGACCACCTGGAATGGTAAAAGCTTGTTCCTACCAGAATTGACTGACACGTCTCCAACAATATGGTCAGACGCGGCGTCTACCACAGGTTTCGCAGCAATCTTAGGAAATAATTGGCTTTGGGGTAAGTGGCCTGCAGAAGTCTATGACTTAGAAGGCTTTTTTACAACCTCAGCTCTTTTTGAGATTTATCCCATTGTAGCAGCTGCCGTGGCATTGGGACATTCATGGTCAGGCTTATCAGTCCGTTGCCACACAGACAACCAAGCAACATGTCACATCATTAACAAAGTCCGCTCATCATCCTTAACAATTATGAGATTTCTCAGGAAGCTCACGTGGTTAGCAGCACGTCACAATTTTTACTTGGTCTGCTTTTATATACCAGGCATATCTAACATAGCAGCTGACAGTCTGTCTTGTTTCAGCGTTCAGGCTTTTCAGCAAGCACTCCCGTCAGCAGCAATTACAGCCACAGCCGCCTCTCCGTTCCAGCAGTTAACCATGGACTAGAAAGAGTTATGCAACATAGCAGGGTTCTGTCCAAACTGGCACTCTCATCCAACACTCACAAAGCATACAACAGAGCCTTCACACTCTTCACAAGATTCCTATCTGACCACGACATAACGCATCCTTTCGTCATGACATCCATTATAGCCTTTGCTTCTTTTTTCCACCTTACATTACACTTATCTTACAACACAATCAAATTATACTTGACAGGCATTCAACATCATATGCTCACTCTACAACCCAATACACAGAGTTTCATGTCATCTTATCAGGTAAAGAATATACTTAGAGGTATTCAGAAATCCGTCCCTCCACCGCTTCCACAGAGATTACCTATAGATAACAACCTTTTCCAGTTATTATCCGACCTGTTAGACTCCAAACCTTTTCACTCTACTACCAACGCAGTCATCAAAACGGCCATGTACATAGCTTTCTACGGGTTCCTCAGGCCAAGGGAATTCACTACTATCACTGCCACTCAAAAAGACAGATGTCTGCTACGCACACACATACGCAAACACATGGATCACTACATACAAGCCAAAATGCACCTCCCGTGGAGATCACCTATTTTCCTACACACACCAAATGGTGTCCAGTAGCAACACTGGATTCCTATCTTTCACTTACCTCATCAATAACATTGCTACACCTATTTTCACTCAAAGGCTCTGTACTCACTACTGCGACTTTCATGCGATACATCAGATCTCTGTTAACCAGGCTAGGTCTTAACCCTTCACTATACTCAGGTCACTCCTTCCGCATAGTGGCGGCTTCCACAGCTTCCAGCGCAAACATACCGGTGCATATCATTAAGTCATTAGGGCGGTGGAAATCATCTGCCTACACAACCTACATACCAAAACCTACACAAGAATTAAGAAAGGCTTTTAAAGAAATGTCTGGTTAATTGTACAAATTGTTGACTGTATTAAATCTTTGATTATTCAAATTTTGCCCTCTTTATTTACAGGCCTACCGTATCGTCGGTATCGGCACACCACAACCGACTTTGCTCATTTATACTATCTTACGTTCTCACTTGAACCTACTCCATATACGGCTAAATTGGCCTTTACACACACATACATATTGTAAAAAAATGTAGATGAATGGATGTTCATGTGGAATCTTTCTTAATTTCTTCTTATCTTCAGTTGATTGATATATATACGTCTTTTGTATATATAGTCTTGGGCCAAATGCTCGCCACAATAATATATGTCTATATTATTGAAAAGTAGTAATACGCAATCTGACTTACGGTTTCTTCAGGTTTATTCTTAGTTACAGATACATAATAAAACATAATAAATAATGTTACAGGATAATGGACATTCAACAACAGATGGTAATTGCTGGACTTCTGATGGGAGAGTTACATCGTTGTACAGAGCCAAGCCAAGACAAGACTAGACTGAGAGACCTCGTGTCCCTCTGTTACTATATAGAAGTGCTAATACTAACGTCAGCATATAACTCTAGCCATATAAGGACAAAAAAACCCACATCCACATTCCAGAGCTCTCGGACAAAGAAAGCCTTGTGACTTATTGATACCATCTGTTACTTATGTCAATCCACACATATATATATATATATATATATATATATATATATATTCAATAGAAACATAGAATATGCAATATTCTACACACATATATATATATATATATATATATATATATATATATATATATATATATATATATATATATATATATATATATATATATATATATACACACACACACACACACACACACATATATTTTACATATGCAAAAATGTTCAAACAAGGGTCCACTGCTACTGCTGTCAACTTTTGGCATGTACCTCAGTCATTTCAAGTAAATAAGAAATTGTCTTGATCATCATGAGACAATATCTATAGATAGCAAAAAATGGGGCCGCAAGAGTATTCTGAGAACGGACAGCAGCTAAAATAGCCTACCTTTCGGTGGGTCCCCGCTCAGAACTCAAGCTGGTTTTAGCTCATCTTGTGCCATTACAGAGAGAACATATCTGAAGCATATCAGACTGGTCCCACCCATGCGGGCAGTCCAGATCCGAAATGCCAGCACGTTCTCTCTGCACGAGAGATACAGCAACCCCAGACGATCGTTTCAGCCTTGTTAGACATCATCAGTGCCTAATCAATATCTATAGATACTCCTATTGTTTTGAGGGGGTCTCCTTATCCATCATGGTTGTACATGTGTGATATATTTTTACTCTGACATGTGCTACTAGCAGATGAAGTGCTAGGATTTGAAGATCAAAGATGATGATGCCCACAACAGACTGCATCAGCAGAGTACAACTGCCCCGCCCAGGTCACTGCACACCAAGCAACGATCTCACTATAGGAGGTTTTTTAAAATATGCAAAGATCCCAAAATGTGAGAGACAGTTAAGGATCAGAAAATATCACAGATAGCCCAGAGCAAAGCTCCCTCGCACCTGTAGCACAAAAAAAGTCTTTGGTCTGCAGAATTGCCCCGTACCTATGGAATAGTGCAAATCACAAGACACACACCCCATGCCTGTCTCCATGGGAAAAGGTAAGAAATAGAGGGAGGCATGGGCATTAACCTTGGAATACGTTTAGGTTATTATAAATTGTAGTATACATTGATATTATTTGTAGAATGACCCTGGTAACACCCCTGCAAACACCACTTATACATACAACCCACACACATTACAGAGAATCACACATACACAACCTAAAACTTCCAAGCCCACAATACCACATCACATATACTACAAGGAACAAACCAACCCACATTTAACATCACAGAACCTCCACACACCTACATAATACAACATACAGTAAACATAAACACACTATCCGGGACTATTTCAGCATACAACGCATACAATGGGGTCATTTAATACAGTGTTTAAATTGCTTAAGTATTCTTTTGGTTGCAGGTAACACTAGAGCATTTTTATCGTTCTGAGCTCATTTTACTTACTTTACCTAGCTTACTGACAATCACTCTGCTGTATTTTCACTGTGTTAGTTACTTAATTAACCTCCCTCCTTATTTGCAGCCACTTCCTCCAACATGACTTTACATTTAACTTGGACTGGCTGTTAGGGTAGCTTACTTCAGGGCTTGACAAATTTGCTTTGAATCTAGGTGCCAGCTTTTTCCAACAACAAAATTAAAATTCTTAAAAAGGAACACTATAGTCACCAGAATCACTACAGCTTAATGTAGTCTCTCTGGTGTCTATAGCCTGTCTATACTTAAAAATGCAGTGTTTACATTGCTGCCTAGTAACATCTCTAGTGGCAGTCGCTCAAACAGCTACTAAAGTGTCTCCTATCTGCATGGAGGCGCTGAACGTTCCTCATAAAGATGCATTGATTTAATGCATCTTTACGAGGAGATGCATATTGGTGCAGCATTTTGCCACACATGCTCAATAGCAACCAATGCTTTCCCATAGGAAAGCATTGGATTGGCTGAGCTCATCAAGACTGATAATCTCAGCTATGAAGACAGGACAGGCACCCTGAGACAGTCACAGCGTTGGGAAAAAGGTGGTAAAAACACCATTCATATGCAATCGATCATGCAATCTAAGGGGGGCTGGTGACCTAAACATACATATTAACTGACATACACACACACTCACTGAATGAGACACACACTAACAGACAGAAAAACACTAACGCACTGACAGACGGGGAAAACTTCTACTCTATATAACAGTTGCTGAATCAGTCAAGGTACAAGTCAGGAGTAATAATAGGGGAGAAACTTACGTAATTATTTTGTTCTGAGATAAGGTGTTTTTTTATATGTTTTGCCCTCTTTTTTTTTTCAGGCCTACCTGTTCATTGGTTTCAGCCCACCACAAGCAACATGTTATTACTGGTATAGCTCAAATCACATTGAATACCTGTGGCCTTTTGTCATCAATGACAAAAATAAATACATATATACACTCACACACAAACGAGTACATTACATAGACAAACAAAATAAAAATAAAAAAGGTATTCAACTTACCTAATAGAGCTTGTAAGCTGCTTCTCAGTGACTTCTTTTTAGGCAAAAGATACAGTCAGCACTATTCTAAAAAATAAAAATAATTTAACTTCATGTATTTTGAATTTGATTATCAACATTATTCAGCAATGGGTTGGGGTATGAGGGGACTAGGTCACCCTATTATTTTACGTGGAGAGACTTTGTAGAGACTGGGATCCAATGGCTGCTCAGTCGCTAGTTTATAAATACAGCCAGTTATTGCTTGCAGTTTAGTAGATGAGCCCCTGCATATCGCATGGGTGGGGTGGGGAGGGGACATAAGGGAAGTTTTACACATGTTATGATATTGACCCCCATAGACTTTATGGTTGTTTTTTTGTTTGTTTTTTAACTATTAAATGTAGTTTCTGGCTAGCAAGCATTGGCAAGCCAGCACACAGTTAACTCTCAAGGCACAGTTTGTCTTTTTTCACCATTACCCTGCAGATTGCTACTATTGACAGCATACATAAATACTTGAAATTATCATTTGCATGCAAAAAAAAAAAAGCAAGAGAATTATAGTGTGAACGTGCATCCTGCTGAAGGCATTCGGTCACGATTTTGGTTTAATCGGGTGCTTGGTTAATATTCTGCATCCTATACTTTGTATAAAGCTCAGATATGAAAGTAACCAATTTTAAACCAGGAATTTGCTTTAGTAAATATGATAATTGTCATTCAGGTGGGAATTTGGCCATTTTTACAAATCTGGTGTTTAGTGAATTATGGGAGTTTATATACCCTGATAATGAACACATTATTCTGTATAATGACACAGAATATCTATAATCTGATAATGTACGTGCCGTGCTTTCAAATTATACAATGATAATAAACATGCTGCTCTGCATAATGATAATGAGTATTTATACGCTGACAACAAACTTGGTGCTCTGTATTATAATAATAATAATAATAATAATAATAATAATAATAATAATGAGTATCTATACGCCTCTAAACCCGCATCTCTGAATAATATGGAGTAGCTACACATTGATAAACAGCCTGCTCTGTATTATGACAATATCTATAAACTGATCATAAACATGCTGCTCTGTAAACTAATACTGCGTATCTATACACAGCCAATACACATGCCGATCTGTTTAATACTGAATATATATATATATATATATATATATATATATATATATATATATATATATATATATATATATATATATATATATATATATATATATATACACACACACACACACATACACACATATACATACACACACACACGCTGCTTAAAAACCATGCCACTCTGTATAATGATATGGATAATAAACGTGCTGCTCGATATAAGAATACTGAATATCTACACACTGCTAATAAGTCGCTATGTATAATACGACAGGGCATTTATACGCAGATAATAAACTTGTTGCTCTAGATACGGATTCAGAGTATCTATATGCTGATTATAAACATACTGCTCTGTATAATAATACATGTAACATGTATCTATACATTGATAATAAACATGCTGCTCTGTATAATGACACTAAGTATCTATACACTGATAATAAACATGCAGCTATATTATTCTGAGTATTCACAGATGGATAATAAACAAGCCACTACCCAGGGAGGTGAGCTACGCCTCCATCGAGAACGAGTGTCTGGCGGTGGTGTGGGCCCTCAAAAAGCTGCAGCCCTTCATTTACGGACAACAATTGACTTTACTCACAGATCACAACCCGTTGGTATGGCTTAACCGGGTCGCTGGAGACAATGCCAGGCTGTTACATTGGAGCCTGGCCCTGCAACCATACGACTGTACTATCCATTATAGACCCAGGAAGCAAAATGGGAATGCCGACGGTTTGTCAAGGCAGACAGAACTGGAGAAGTGATACAAGCTAATGGAAAAATTATCCCATGCTAAGGTTCAAAATATGCCTTTTGAAATATCCTGGGACGTGTTCTTTAAGAAATGGTATGCCTTTATGGTGTAGTTGTAATATGTAGCCTGCTCAAGTGCTCTAAAGTGGAACACGGACGCATCAAAACCCTCCATGAAAAATTCACACTTAAAAACCTGAACTTGTCACGTCTCTTTTAGAGCTCTGTATCTTCACAAAATATAGTGTCTAGGTCATACATTGGGCATATTGGTTTACTCAGAAGACTTAGCTGAGCATAATTTGGGGGGGTTTGAACTTAGTGGCACATATGAAATATACAAAATGCCCAGCAAAAATGTAATCCGTATGTTAAAAATGCCCAAAATAATTTTTTACCACATACTTTGGCATATATTGGTGAAAAAATGTGGGCATGTTAAGGCACAATATGCACCTTATGAGATACCCTGGAGTGTCTACTTTTACAAATGGTAGGCCTTTGTGGGGGGGTTTTGAACAGTCAAACTGTTATAATACCCCAAATGGAAGCATAGACTCATTAAATCCATCTCAAAATTCTACTGTGAATACTGAAAAGGACAGGTCTCCTATATGGCACTGTAGCTTCACGAAATAGTGTCAAAGACATACAATGGGGGTGTCATTTTACTCAGCAGATGTAACTGAACACAAAATAAAACTTTGTACAGGAATAGCACACACAAACTTTACAAAATACACATGAGAAGTTCTTTGTTATAAGATTGTGTGCCAAAAAAACAAAGAAAACACAATTTTACTCCAATATTTAGCAGAGGTTGGCGGTGAAATGGCTATGTAGAAAGTGTCAAAACAACCTTAGGACAATAGCCTGTGATGTCTATTTTATATAAATATATACTTTTGTGTTTTCTTTTATGGCTACTAAGCTTACAAGACAAACATACCAAATTCTAAAATCGTTCCACATCAAATTAAAGCCCTTTCTGTCCTTTAAAAAAAACGGTATATAATATGTGTCGGTGCAATAAATTAATAAAATGCAAATTGCAGTTGAACGCAAACCACAAAAAAATGCTGTTGTCATTAAGTGAAAGACGAGCTTCTGAAGCTCTATCCTTAAGGGGTTAAGTACCTCTCGCACTGGAGAGAAGGGGTTCCGATTTCCAAAATGGAGGCTGGTAATGTTCAATAACATTAGTGCATAAAGGGAAACTATAGTGCCAGGAAAACAAACTCATTTTCTTGGCACTGTAGTTTCCCCTTCTGTCAAGGCCCCCTCCAGCGGCGCTGAAGGGGTTAGTAACCCCTTCAGTCACTTACCTGGGTCCAGTGCCGATGTTTCTCAGAGCTGGCCCAGCTCCGGCCCCGCTCGCCCCCCGCCGACATCCGCCAGCTGGGGAGACCTAATGCACATGCACGACAATGGCCGTACTCGCATTAGGATTTACCCATAGATAAGCATTATTCAATGATTTCCTATCGGGATTCCGGTGACGCTGGAGGTCCTCATGCATAGGGTGAGGACGTCCACCATCGTTTAGATGACCAAAAGTCGTCTAAGAACCCAGAGGTCCCTCTTGTGGCTGTCTGATAGACAGCCACTAGAAAAGGATTTAACCCTGCAAGGTAATTATTGCAGTTTATAAAACCTATGGAAGTGTGAGGGGATTTCAGCTAGGCCCAAAATTTAGTAGGCCTCTGTTGTATCTGTTAGTAAATTACATGTAGCTAAGATACTATCATCAATGTATTGAGCATGTGCAAGAACTGAAACCACATTCCATTCTCCTCAAGGGCCATGCTGCCTGTCCATATAAGGTAATCCTGTATAGCCTGTTTGCTGATTGGTGTAAGGGTACAGATGGGGGATGCATAGCTTACAAAAAAAACTCTACTCCATGTGCTCAGATCTTTTGAACAGGAGTTCAGCTAAGACCCGGACCATGAAAATAAAGAAACTTTACTTCCTGAAAAGACCTGTGTCCGGACTCTCTGTGAGTGGCTTCTTCAGTGTTCCCCGGTAACAGAAGTTGGCACTTAGACCACTTCAATGGGCTAAAGTGGCATGGGTGCCTACAGTGTTTCTGTAAATGCATACACTTATGTGTATATATGAGAAAAGTTGCTACCATGTATTTTTATTGCCAGAAACCATCTCCTCATCGATCAATATAATTAATATTTTTAAAAGGAAACTATAGTGCCTGGAAAACAAAGTTTCATTTGTCTGAACAGATTTCATGACAATATCCTATTGATTACTGATTCTATGATCCTATTGATTGGCTTTTTTAAGGCTTCTTAGGTTTATGCAACTCAAATTTGGTTTCATAACTATTAGCTATTTCATAACTATTAGAATATAGCTTTGGTGCTACTTCCAAGTGCTGTTTCTAAGTGTGTAGTTGGAGATATTCTGGAGAGTTTTACAGAAGCTTCAACTGTCTAAGAGTTGTGCTAAGAGCTTTCTTTTCTACTGTTACAGGTAAGATTCATCTGTAGGAAAAGGTTACTGATTGCACAAGGTTTGAATTCCTGTTGGTAATTATAAGGCATTTGATTTGATTAAGCTAGTTACTTGCTGTTGATTGCTGGTTAATTAGCTATTGTTTGCAAATAAGCAGAGGCCTACCCAGGTGTTAAACATTCCTAGTGGGCGGTGATTTTAGGAGTTATATAAGGCCTGGTTCCATTAGCTTGTCTAATATAGCTTGGTGCTACTTCTAAGTGCTGTTTCTAAGTGTGTAGCTGGAGATATTCTGGAGAGTGTTGTTTCTAAGTGTGTAGTTGGAGATATTCTGGAGAGTGTTGCTTCTAAGTGTGTAGTTGGAGATATTCTGGAGAGTGTTGCTTCTAAGTGTGTAGTTGGAGATATTCTAGAGAGTGTTGCTTCTAAGTGTGTAGTTGGAGATATTCTGGAGATAACCTGGAGGTAATCTGAGGTATTCAGGAGGATAAATAAAAAGTTAAGATTCGTTTGATTTAAATTATTCTCCTCATTGGAATGGCAGACTTAGTTCAGTGTAATAGTTGCTATGCATTTGTTTCACATTCCACTTTTTGGAGGTTTAGTTGTTGTCTAATCTGTAGACAGTTCTCTATCTTGCAGTAGGAGATTGTATTTTGAAGTCTGAGATTTGTAAATTATCTGGTGTAGAAACTCAGACTGGAATTTGCTGCAAGCCA